TTATGGAATATAAAAAAATGCAGAAAGAAACCTTCCCTTGACATTAAAAAGGCGAAGATAAACTTTTTTTAAATCTACGTTCTCTGAAATTTATAAAGACCCAGCTAAGCTGTGGAATACTATGAGAAAACTAATGTCAATAAATCCGGTTTTCATCCCTAAAGAACTTAAAATAGATGGTACTCTATATACGCAAGCTTTATTGGCAGATAAATTTAATACACATTTTCTGTCATCTGGTGCATGTGAATCAGCGACCGTATATGACAACCATTACTCATCTGTACCGGTATTGAGCTCAATATTTTTAGAACCAACAGATGAAACAGAAGTTCGAAATATACTAATGTCCCTAAAAATAACTGCGCAAGTGGTGTTGATGATATCAAGGTTACCGCTATTAAAGCGGTAACGGAGTTAGTGTTTCCTCCTCTTGTTGATCTTTGTAATAAAATATTGGTTTCCGGTATATTCCCAGAAAAAATGAAAATTGCTAAAGTCAGTGTTATCCACAAGGGAGGCACATATGAGAACCTTAATAATTACAGGCCTATATCTGTACTACCACTTTTTTCCAAGGTTGTAGAAAACATAATTATTTCAAGATTTTACCGGTTTTTTACTATTACAAATATTATAACTGACAAACAGTTTGGTTTTCAGAAAGGGAAATCAACCGAATCAGCCCTAATATAAATCAAAGATAAAATAATTACTAATATAGAAAACCATGCAGATACCATTGGGATTTTCCTGGATTTCAGAAAAGCGTTTGATTCAATAAAACATGAAAGTTTACTGGAGAAACTATTGGCGTGCGGAATTAGAGGTAATGCACTAGAATTAATTCGCAGCTATTTATATTCGCGTTCTCAATATACGGTACTTAATGGATTTCAATCTAAACTCGCACCGATAATATATGGCGTTCCGCAAGGTTCCATACTGGGGCCTCTATTATTTCAAATTTATATAAACGATATTGTGAATATACCTGAATCGCGTGGTATTATTTTATATGCTGATGATACCAATGTCTTTTTTTCTAGTGGAAATCTGGATCAGCTCAAGGAATTTGCAAATAGTTGGCTCAGTAAATTATTATTGTGGCTAAGGCGCAACCAGCTTAGTCTTAACACTAGTAAAACAAAATATGTGTTGTTCAGATCAAGAAACAAACCTATTTCGCGTACATTGAATATCTCTTTTGACGGGGAAAAAATTGAATGCGTTAAATATCACAAGTTTATTGGTGTATGGTTTGAAGAAACACTCAGTTGGACTGTACACATAGAAAAAATGAGGGTTGATATTGCAAGAGCAATAGGAATATTAACAAATTCCGACAATTACTACCAAAAAGGGTGAAACTGCAATTATATTATTCGCTGGTCTACTCACGCTTATAGTACTGTATGTTAGTATGGGGAACCACTACACAAACGAATAAGGAAAAACTATTTATTTTGCAAAAGAAGGCTGTTCGATATATTGAGAACCTTAAAAGGTACGAACACTCATTCCCAGCATTTCAAAAGTATAAAATATTAAATATAGATCAAATTCTGCTTCTCAAATTATCTATTTTTATTTTTAATCAAACTAGACAAAACGAAGCGCCCTTTCTTTATATCTTCAATAAAACCTCGGCAAATTACAGTCTTAGAAATGCACAGTACCTATACGAAACCCATGGTTCGAACTAATTACGGTACACAGCACCTTACATATCTCGCATCAGATCTACTAAGCAAACGCCTAAACATAGCAGAAATGGCCCAAGCACACATTTCGTTTTTCCATTTAAAAAAAAAAAAGGATTGTAGAATATATACTAAATCACTCATGATCTGCAGTTAGTAAGAAGTTGACAGTTGTGTGTTGTTGTGTTTGTTGTGGATTTTAAAATTGCTGTATCTTTGTATATTTATTCTGTTTGTTTTCCTGTGTCTCCTCCGAGTGCTGTGAAAAAGGGGCTGGAGGCTCGTCAGAAGACAACTCGTCTTCTTTTGGCCCAGCCCCCCAGACCCTTTTTTGTGTCTGAAATAAAAGATATATACATACATATATACCACGGTCTTTCAAGGTCGACCAAGGCCTTTTCTCAAAAAAGTGTTCCTGAACAAGGCTAGCACGACTATACTTACTTGCTGAGGACGTCAACGAAATTAATAAACATTCGGCATCCCTACTGACGTATTTCACGCATCTCCGGCAGCTTCAACTACCACTTAGGGCAATGTCTTTGTATCTATGTAAGAGCGGCGCATATTTACAGTTCTGGTTAAGAAAAAATTAAACTAGCTGCGATTCGGGAAGATTATAAGCACATTATCGGGAAACACACGCTATCACGGTCAAGAGTCTACGAATTCTGTCAACAGTTCAGCGAAGGACGATAACCGATAACAAATGAAAAGCGTGGGCAATTTCTTCCGAGTGAAAAGTAAAGCAACCAAAACATTGGCAGCGTTACCTGGAAGTGCACAAAAATACTTTCAAACAGTGACATAGTTTCGTGATTGTCAGATCGTTCCTATCCTCAGTAGAGTTTAAAGCGCAGGAAAACTCTAACGATCATTGGAACTGTAAAATGTATTGGCTTCTAGACGTTGGCCATTCAAACCCTTCTAAATATAATGCAGCGTAACTAAAATTATTTTGTATAGCAAAAAAAAAAAGAAAAATATAGCACTCCAATGTCAAATGTTTGGTCACTGACGAATCGCAGCGCTAGCGTTAGGGACCAGAGGGCATTCCTTCAGAAGTAAGCGTTATGTTGTTCAACGTTTAATAAATATTTTTTGCAATTTAATTGCAAAAATAGAGCCCGTTTCCGGTAGCTGCCGCCATTAATCTTCATGTATTCGTAGACTTCGTATTCCACAATTTCCCCATTTAAACTTGCCGAATATTTTTTTTATATAGTTTGAACCCGATAACGGTCAACTCTGATTGCGGGTATATACACCGACACGCGGGCTTGACGTCACGGAGCTGCGGCGGCGCTGCGATCGCGCCGGAGCCGGGGGGTGTGGGCAAAAGCGCGCACGTTTCGCGTGGGCGTCATAGCATTTCAGCATGTCGCGAAGTTGTGTTGCCGTTAATTGCACCGAAATGTACAAGAAAAGCAGCGGAGTGAGTTTCCACAAGTTCCCGGCAGACTCTGAAAGGCATTGAAGGTGGATAATATCCGTGGATCGAAAAGAATGGTCGCCTCGCGCGAACGACCGTTTGCGCGGAAAACACTTTCTTGGAGGCAAGTGCGGCTTCCATTTCAATCTCCGTCCCGAGGCTTGCTTATGCGCAGGGAAACCGTTGTCTGATCGAGACCACCCGGATTTTGTTCCCACGGTGTTCGCGCACAACGCACCGGCCAAGCGCTCGTCGGAGGCTCGCCACGCCCGTGCTACCCAGCAGAAGGGGATTGGCGACAGAACGGCAGTGTTGTAGGCGTTACCAAAAAAAAAAAAAAGTAACGAAATATGTTATTTGTTACTTGCAAATCAAAGGTACGCGTTACCGAGCTACGTTATCTAAAAATAAAAGGAACGCGTTGCCGCTACCGATAAAAAGTAAGGCACGTTACTTGTGCGTTATTTTTTAAAATAATGATTTGACACATTTTACGGTTTTGACGATACAGGTCATATATCAAGAAACATTATGTTCATGCAGAAACTGAACATAATTACCCTATCTCTTTTTACGGTTTCACCTAAATACTTACGAAAAAAAAAAACCCGCAAAGAACAACATGGCTTGACGCCTAAAACACGGAAACAATTGAAGTGTAATTTGTTTAAGAATTGGGAAGTAGTAAAGACTAACGTAACTACGTTACTTGAAATTGTAACATAAGTACGTTACCCGTTACTGTGTCGAAAACGTAACGAGCAGGTTACTACGTTGCTGAAAAAAGTAACGCGTTCCTGGTAACGCCGTTACTTGTAACCTGTTACCGCCAATACTGCAGAACGGACAAACCTTTACTGGTTGTAATGCCTTGTGGTCCTGAGGGTATGAAAAATATCATACCTTGACTTGAAGACGCTCTGTGTATTTAATCAATTAATGAATATACACACTTCCGCAGACCCACAGTCTGCTGATCCCGCCGGCATTGCGGAAACCCACTCGATGTAATCGTAGCCTCGAGAGACTTGTACGCCTGCACCGTGTCGGCCGTGAACTGGCTTGGCGAAAAAACTAAATAAACGACGACCTGAGCCGTCGACTTCCGTGGCAGCAACTTTACGTCGGAAGTCCAGCAGGCCTTGTTTACGGCGTACGGATTCTCGTAGGGAAAGCCGTCCACGCACAGTTTGTTTCGATACCGCTACCGTTCAGGCTCGGGCAACGAGTTCAAATAGTCGGGCATAGCATACGACATACGTTATGAGGAAATACGACGCACAAATAAAGGTACAAGCGTCCCTACAACGTCAACAACGAGCGCACGCCATAGAGCGCAATGGCGAAAACACGGAGGGCCGGGCTGCTTTTGCCCACATAGCTCACGCGCATGCGCGGCCTCCCGGCCGTGTTGGTAAACAGAGCCGCTCCGCGTGTCGGTCTATAAACAGCACCGTTAGCGCTCACTCGCGAAATGATAGTGTTAAAAAATGCAGGCTTTATTTTTCCGACTAAAAAAAATTTAGGCGGAACAATTTAAACAAGATTACCCCTTGGCACAACTCATGTCCTTAGGATGTCGTTAGAGCTTGGAAGAAATTCTCAATTCAAAAGCGATTGGTTTGGCTGAGTTAAGTTATCAAGGTTCCTGATATTTTGAACACCCACCGAGCTTACAAACTCTACAGTGACGCGAAACAAGAACCAGATCTTGATATTAAGTGTTTACGCGAGTTCCCGCACTTATCGCATATGTTCACAGGTGTTTCACATATATCACACGTGGATGCACGTGGTGCCTGCATCGAACTATGATTTCAAAACCACGTCACAGATCTATCTCGAAATTTTGAATTTTTTCACAGGCTTGGAATGGTGCACGACGGATTAAGGGCAAAATACAGCACTCCGGCTTACAGAAATGTTACCTGCGACCCACGTGCCGGCTACCTAATGGCACCTGTTACGTTTGGCGCCAGAATGGGACAATGGTCTAAGTGCTCCTTGGCTCACTTGAAAGGGTTTGTAAGGTACGATTTTCTATTGTTTTCTATTGCTTCATTCTGGCCTCCCATTGATGTTCCATTGTGTCCTAGATTAGAGGCTGTATTGTGTCCTACCCTCGTCGCTTTCTTGGTTGCATTCCGAGCGCTTGCCAGAATGGGCCGTTTACGACGCAAAATACAGCCATCAGGCTCAAAATAGAAACTTGCGAATGTCATTTACAGATATTGTGGATCACATTCATCCTATTTCTAAACACGACGGATATATTTCAAATTTTGTTGAAGTGTCCATTTAAGCTTTATTCACTCACTAAACCAACCATTCAAAAAGATTGGGCTATTAGCCTTTGAAATACCTCTTTGGAGAATGGAACCCAAAGCAATGTTTCGGGTCAGGCAGCCTCTTCATCAGTTAGTTTCGAAAGTAGACTTCATTTTCTAGGGGGAATAAAATCATTTTAATGAGTATGGGTCAAGTATCCGAGAGATGGTTGTTGCATCTTAATCGCATTCTAAAGACACTTCTCACATTTGCATTCCCCTTGATTTAAGGGGCTACCTTGCGGTGAATATTGAGCATTCTGCAAGACGAGGATTTTAAGTTGGATGTGAACATAACATCGATATCTAAAAGCCACTTTGACTACGCCACGGCTGACGCAATGCATTGAGGGAACCCTGTTGGTTTTCCCGCTCATAATAATCTAGGTGCCGGAAATTTTATTCCGTGTGTCCCAGAATTTAATTCAGCTGTACACCAATTCAGCCCAAGTGTTAACGAATTTAACTCAAGTAGTCAACTGTTTAATCCCAACGCCATTCAATTAAATGCAAGGCTCACTTACTTTAATTCGTTCATAGTTGTGAATTTACTGTTACTACTAACTCATATGTTACTACCTTTTTAAAAACCTAAGTTGCTTGCAAGTCATAAACGACTTTTAACTGTATGTGCGCACTGCGTGACTGGTTTTCTCGTGCATTTGGAGGGATTTCTTAGACAATAATACGTAAGCTCGAACAAGCCATGGATATGTCTTTTGTCGGTTTTAAAATAGTAACGAACATTTACTAAAGGCTTGACAGTGAAACCGCGTTGGATAATTTATATTTCAATTAGGTGTGTGAATTTAATGGCATGAACATTTTAATTGCAAAGCAGGATGCTGATTTTGAAACTCGTGTATTCCACACACGAATATGCGAGTTACATCTACTGAGTTTGAAGGGCAGGCACTATGTACTTGAAATGGTTGCGGACATAGGCCACGCTTCAACACGTTGAATTTTCTGCACTGCTTCTTGCGCCGCTGTCTGGAGAACCTGAGAATGGTGTTCCTTTAAGGTGGTAGCTTCAGGCCGCGCAAGTACAACTGCGCTATGCTCACTAAGGTAAGCTCTCCTGCCAGGCTTAAACTTAAAAACATATCTTAAAATGGAATGAAGACCGGACTGTGCGGTGGTAAGTACTTCAAAGAGTGCCGCTGGGACAAGGGGGCGTCTGCGACTCGTCGGTGTGCGGAAATATTATTAATTATAATGACCGAATCCTGGCCTCCCTCGAACCTTCCTCCAGGAATTCGTTGGAATTTAAGCAGGACACCTTTTCCACACTTCCCCACTAGAAGAAACCGTCAGCAGACACGCTTGCGAGGATGTTGATATTTGGCTCTCGGGTACCTGTTGCCTTCACGGCGTCCTTCCTACGTTTTGACCTCCTAAACCTTAAGCTATGCCAACTATTAAAGTTTGTTTTGTCAGCCTAACATCGAAGCTGAAGCGGGCCGTACACCTGTAGTTACGAAGCGTATATTTTCTTCACTTTTTACATCATTGCAATTTCGGTTAATGGGTTGCAGAGAAACGAAACTACCTACAAGTGCCTTGGTGTCACACTGTCATCCGACTGTTCTTGGAATGCTCACGTTGATGATGTCATCCTAAAAGCTGGCAGGGCGCTCGATTTTATACAACGGAATTTGAAATCTTCACAACCTGAATTAAAGAAAACCGCGTACTTAACATGTGTTAGGCCGATATTAGAATATGCCTGCACCGTCTGCGACCCTTCGCACATAACATTGATTGATAAATTGGAAAAAATTAAAAATAGAGCTGCTAGGTTTGTACTAGGTCGTTATGGACGGAGAGAGAGCTGCACTAAAATGAAAAGCGAATTGAATTAGGAACTGCTTTCTTCTCAACGAGAAAAGTTGAGACTGAAGTTTTTATTTCTCATATATAATCATAAAACTGGCATTAACAGAGAGGTATATTGAAATCACTCACATTATGTTTCTGGGCGGACAGAACATGCCTTTAAAATCCGAGAGTACCATGCCAGGACGAACATGTATGCAAATTCTTTTTTTGTTAAAACCATTTCAACGTGGAATAGGCTGTCTGAAGACCAGGTGTGCTCTACAAATGAAGATGTATTATTTAAAAAACTGTAATCCCCCTGCAATAACGCCTCCAGGCAATGCTGGGTAATCCTTGAATAAAGGTTGAATAAAGAAAGATTCTTCGCTGTGTAGCCGTCTCCATTCAAAAGTCAGTCAATTGTAGATTGTAAAATTATAAAGCGTAAGCTGGAGACACGGACATTAAGTAGACAGAATATCGCTGTCCTCTCTACTTCATGTCCGTGTCTGCCCCTTGAGCTCTATATTTTCGGTATGTTGAACAAACTAGCCCACCTTAATATTTTAGTAAATTACAGATAGGTTGAATTGAAAACTTGATCCAGTTGCTTCAAACACTTGTTTGAGTTGCCTAAGCGTGTAGGTTGGGTGTTCATTTACCATAGCTCTCAGGTCCTGCACACAATCACAGTCGAATGTCTTCTTTAAACCACCTCTGAGTTTCGGTTCATCTCTGTCAGTCTTCGCATTCGACCGAGCAGTCTTTACGTTAATTCCTAGTGTGTCAGCAGGTTCCTTGATGTTACCGCATCGTCGCCGGGAGTCGAGCAGCCGCGCTTGATCTTGATGAGATACCTTTTGGTAGGATGTTTTAGGAAAGTTTGGATCATAACGAGGTCGAACTCGACACTTTGCATTAGACAAACTTATTACCACTTGCGTTAAAAAATACGGGTGACTTAGATGCACACCGTCAAGCATCTAAAATCGTTTTTATCTGCCTCGGAGAGTTGAGGATCGGCAGCCGCCTGCAACCAAGTGGTAGATGCCAGGTTATCGTCTGCAACCGCGGCACAGCGCAAGCATACGGCGAAGTGTTCGCACAAAATTTAAAGTAGCAGTAGCCTTAGATAAAACAGCAGCCCGGCCTAAACACACCGCGGAGTTTTCGAAGACGGTCTCCGTAAAATAGCAGACGACGTCGTTGATAAAACCATCCGGCAGCACTTCTTGTGTCGTCTGCAAACACATCACGGTATTCTTGCGCCGTGCAGATTTTGCAGACGATAGCCTGGCATCTCCCGCTTGGTTGCAGACGGCGGCAGATCCTCGAATCTCCGAGGCAGATATAATAGTTAGGAGCAGTTTAACGATTTTCACGCAAGTCACCCACATGGGTGAACACTCTTGGCAATAAGTTGGTCTAATGCAAGAAACCGAGGTCCACATTGGAAGGGTCAAAACCTACCTAAACATGTCTATTGAAAGGTATCCGATCAAGATTGAACGCAGCCGCTTGACAGCTGGCGACGAGGCGGTAGCATGAAGCAACTTGCTGAAACACTAAGAATTAATGTGAAAAGTTATCGGTGAATTGCGAAGGCTGACAAAGAGGAACCGAAACACAGAGGAGGCTCAAAGAAGATATTCGACTCCGATGTTCTGCAAGATATGACAGCTATGGTGTCATATATCTTGCATGTTGTGCAAGATATGGCAGTTACACACTGAAGCAACTCAAACAAAAGCTCGAAGCAACTGGATCAGGAACCCAAATCAGCCTATCTACAATTGGCAAACTTTTGGACGGACACAGTTATACAAGAAAGCAACTTTCTCTGAAGCCCGTTGGCGGAAATTGCTGTGATGTAAAAAATCCACAAAAATAATACGCTTCGTGGCTACAGGGCTACGGCCCGCTTCGACCTCGATATTACGCCGACGAGGCAACCTTTATGATGTGGTGTAGTCGAAGGCTTGGGTGGTCAAAAAATTGAAATTACTCCTGTGCAAAATAAAGAAGGATGAAGTGGAAACGACTGCGATATAGGGAAGACGACGACGAGGCAGGTCTTTTTTTTTGTATAGCTTGAATTATGAGAACGACCAATTAAACGGTACGACATTTACTGCTTGGCTAATTTAATTTTATACCGAGAAAGATCTTCGGCATTTTTGTGCCGAAACCCGTTAGTCTGCCTCAAGACATCATCTCCAAACCCAGACGAAGCTGCAAATTTACCAGGTACTGGTGACTTTCGTTGTTAACCCTAACAGTGGAACTTGGAGACTTTAACGATGGAGGCAAACCATCGGGATTGTAACGCGAAGGTCTTTTAAGAGAGATTCCTGCCAACCAAGCGAAAGCCAATCGACCCTAACAAATCGCAATGGACATACTGAAGGCGAAGCCTAGCACTCGACGAGCCCAAAACACCGGGATGATAAACGACGCCACCACACAGCTGAACAGCCCTGATATAGACCTGAACAGGCTCATCGAAATCAAAGAATGCCTGACTACGAGCAACGCGGAGCTTAAAAGAATGAGCGAGGAGTTAGAGCTGCTGCTATCAGCACAGGAGTTCGAGAACGAGTACGCCGCTGCTGCCGAATACCAAGGCCGTGCCATGATGTTTATTGCCTAGCTCTGCTTCAACATTGCAGAATTGGACACCAGTAGACGCCCCATGGTTCCGGCAACAGCAGCGACAACGCCCAATGCGCATGTCACAGTCTTCAGGATGAGTGTATCCAGACTACCAAAACTGGACATCACTACCTTCAGTGGGGACGTCACCCAGTGGCGGACGTTTTGGGAACAGTACGTTGTCAACGACGGATAAATTTCATTATTTACGCCGCTGCCTGACTGGAGAC